ACTGTTTCCTTCTAAAGCAGTGGTCTTCAACCTTTCCTCTTCTGGGAGCACCTTCAACCTCGAGGCATTATCGGACCCTCTTATTTGCAAGCATTTGGTACCAAGGTCATGTGACAGAAAGAAGGGGAGCTGAAGATATGAATGACTGTCCTAGTGTGAAGGCAAGGACCACAGGCAACAGACTAAGAGTTGGGGACAGGAAGCACATGCCAGGTACCAGGAGGTGTACTGAAAAATAAGCCAACAGTCAGAGCTCCTTTTCAGAACTGGGAGTAAAGTAGCTTGAGTCAGTAGCTCACAGGAGAACAAATGATTAAACAGTTTTTCCTGGATATGGGAGTAGCTAAAGGTAGCTTGTTTGCAAACATTTATTTTATATATCTAATTCCCAACATGGCCCCCTGCGTGCGGATACTTATTTCCGCAGATCAGGGGCACATGGAGGGAAAAGAGATTATCCTACACATTTGGGGCACCCCTCAGCTGTGCAGAAAAATCTAAAAACTTTTTAAAAGAATACGGGGGACATTTAAATTCCCCCCAAAGTACAACAGCTTTTTCTGCTCATGCACAGAGAAAGGACTTACCAATGACGAGGACCTTTCTCTCCCCCTCCCTCTCTCTCCTTGGAAAGTTCTGAGCTCGTGACTGCCCTTAGCAACGGCTTTCCTAGCGACGTGCAAGCTTTTCCGCTTTTGGGAAGCCAGGAGCAAAGCGGGACGGAAAGCGGCGGGTGGCTTTATGGCTAAGCCTGCACTGGCTCGGCCTCCCAGGCACTGCCTGCCGGGCTCAAAGTTAGGGGGAAAGGAGGGGGGAAAGGGGGGGATTGGCTTGGGGGGGGGGGGGGGAGAAAAAAATGGGGGTATTTGCTTGGGGGGGGAGAAAGAAGGAGGATGACTTGCGGGGGGGAGAGAGATCGACTTGGTGGAGGGTTGTAAAGAAAAAGGAGGGATTGGCTTGGGGAGAGAAAGAAAGGGGGAAGGAAGCAAAGGTGGGGGAATGCCTCCTCCCCACAAGTTTTCTGCGGGTCCACCCTTGTTAGATAATAACTCTGAACTTTAAGCAAAATACCAAAAAACAGCAACTGTGGCTTTTTCTGCAGAGGAAGGTATCAGTTCTGAGTTTCAAAATCTATTTAAATGATCTACTCCTGTTAAAATCTCTGTCACCTACTTATACCTTTGCATATAGTTCAGATGTAATTCATGAGTGCAGATAAATAGCATGCTGTAAGTCCTTAACCTGGGAAAGCCTTGCGCTCTTCTTGCTGGTGGTCACTGGCCCTAGGGATGTCTGGCTGTCTTCTTATTCCTGGCCCTGACCTGGTGGAACTCTCTGCCAAATGTCATCATGGCCCTGCGGGATCTTATGCAATTCCACAGGGCCTGTAAGGCAGAGATGTTCCGCCAGGCTTTTGGTTGAGGGTGGCAGTGGGTTCCTCATTGGCTGGCACCCATCCTCTTCCCCTCCCCTTTTGTTCTGAGTTCCTGTTCCCCCTCCCCAGATAATTGGCCAGTAGTCCAGAATTGGGATAAAAAACATTATAGGACGCCATCTTGGATCTTTTATTCTGAATTTAATTTTTTTAAGCTGTATATTGAATTTTAATGTTTTGTATCTTTTACAGCCTTTTGCACATTGCCCAGACCCTGGCATAAACTGGGATAAGGTGATTAATAAATTGAATAAACAATAACCCATATGATAGTTTTACTTACTATCTATACCCCACCCTCCTTGCTGCAAATCAGCATCCGCTCAGGCTCACTACTGAGGCACTACGTTCTTCTGAAGAGAACTTGCGTTCTTCATTCGGTTGCCGCAATTGCTCATTTGGCTTTCACAGTGTAGCTAAAGAGACACCTTTGGGTAGTGAAGGGCAGGGTATAAATCCAATCTCTTCTCTAAAGTAGGCCTCCTTTAGTTTTTGAGCTGGCTCTTCCATACTGTTAAGTCCTTTGTTAATTAAAAAGAATTAGGAGCTGCAGCCAGGTTTTCTGTGCAGAGGAGAACAGCTGTAAAACCAGTACACAATACAGATGCTGCTGCCTTGGATGGAGTCGGCCTGCCTGCCAGGGTCAGTGTTGCCTCCTCCGACTGGAAGTGGCTCGAGGGGGGGAGGGGTTTGTCTTAGCTGTTATTTGGCTTTTGAGAAGTACATTTTGGCTGAATGTAACTTTTAAGGAATTGGTGTTGGTGGAGTGGCAGATCCCAACTATCTCCTACAGGGGTAAATCCAGCCTAACTCTATACACAGTGCAGTGGTAGCCGATAAGGCATTACATCTTGACCAGCAAGAACAGGGTTCAGTGTCTCTCGACCTGGTGAAGTCATTTTCAGCCTGAGTTGTGTATGGGGATAATTATATCCTCACATCTATCTTTGGTGCTGTTAAAGAGGAGAGGATACAAAAGTTAACACAGCTTACGATGATCATTGGTCCTCAAAACATACATTTCAGAGGCTGCACTTGTCAGGGACATGACTTGTCCCTCACATGAAAGAGGCTCCAAAATACAGCAAAGCTGATTTGTGCCAGAAAGGCTTTCAACGCTTTGGCTGTAGTACTGCAAGTTTCTTAGATACCTCTTCTTTTGCCAAGGCTATGCTGTGTATGAAATAAAAGTCCTTATGAAAAACGAGGGAGAGGAGAGTGTTTCCTGGAGCTGGTAGCATCAGAAGACGATGCGTTTTGAAAACCCTTCACAGATCTTGAATGCCCAGTGCTGCTACTGTCACTTCAGGCTGAGAAAAACTCAGCCACAGCAGCTTTGGCAAAGGATGAAGAAATGTAGTGTCTGCATAATACCTGAGCTGCTCATTCTGGAATTACCCTACAAATGACACTGGTTTTATCCATCCAAGATGTACTGATTGCCCCCACCTCCCACACACACACCCCAGGAAAAGAAGATTTTGCTTACCTGTTGGGGAAAGGAAACAGGTGTCCCATCCTGCTAACTAAACTATGCCACTCGATTCTAAGAAACTTGAGAGTTCAGAAACTTTCAACTCAGCAATATCCTTTTAATATCCCTCTCTAATATCCCTCTCTCCCTGTATTATGTTGGATGTATTTAATAGGATAGAGGAGCTGTAGCTTGCCAGGCACAGTCTGGGAAGCTGGGTAGTTCCTTCCCTTGGTATCCAGGGAACTTAACCCTTTTCTTGCAGCCAAGAGGAGGTGACGTTCCAGATGTAATGCATGCCCAACGTCCTGTAGAATGGCCATTTACAAGTAAATAAATATTCCCTTTCTATAAGGTGACACTCAACACCAACAAGCAGACAGAATCATTATACAGATTCTGACGTCCTGTAGAATGGCCATTTACAGGTAAATATTCCCTTTCTATAAGGTGACACGTAACACCACAAGCAGACAGAATCATTATACAGATTCTTTGTTTTATTTACAATTTGAATTTAAAATCTACATGAAGCATCCATTTCTGTAGATCTCAGAAACCTGCAGGACATAAGGGCAGATTGTTAGTTTCCATGATCTGCTTCCAAGTTAAGTGATTTGAATAAGATCCACAGAAGGAAGAAGGATAAATGTCCCAACCATGTAAGCGCTTCAGTAAAGTCATGGGGGGAGAGAGAGAGCCTCTGTGCATACGGCCTGGGCAGTCACAGCATAAGCACTGTACAACCTCCATGGGCAAGGAGTGGGGCTGGGGATCTTACTCCCGCTCACCCTGTACTCCTACCCGCATAACCTTAGATCCACTATCAAAGGTTGGTATGCCTGGGTATCCGGTATATTTAGCAAAAGAAGTAGGGTGCTTGGGGGGGGGGTCAACCGTGGGAGGGCTTCGAGTCCCCACTGGTGGACCTCCTGATGGCACTGGTATTTCTGGCCACTGTGTGATACAGAGTGTTGGACTGGATGGGCCTTAGGCCTGATCCAACATTGGCATCTCTTATGTTCTTAGGGACCACAAGGAACTCGCATGGGAAGGGAAAGCCCATCCTCCCCTGCTGGTCCCTACTGCTTCCTCCTCACCCTCCCATTGCTACACCCCCCCCCAATATAACCACCTTTCTTTCTCCACCTTATTGTCGCATCCTTCCTTGTCCCACCACTGCCTTCTCCCATTGCCTTTTCTGTCCCTCTGTGGAACTGCTATGCAAACCCCTAAATGGCAGCTGATATCTGAAAGCATGCCAAGATCTCATTCCCTGCCCCCCCCCCAAGAGCCTCTGTGCATACGGCCTGGGCAGTTACAGCATAAGCATGAGGTTGGTATGCCTGGGTATCCGGTATATTTAGCAAAAGAAGTAGGGACCACAAGGAACTCGCATGGGAAGGGAAATCCCATCCTCCCCTGCTGGTCCCTACTGCTTCCTCCTCACCCTCCCATTGCTACACCCCCCCCCAATATAACCACCTTTCTTTCTCCACCTTATTGTCGCATCCTTCCTTGTCCCACCACTGCCTTCTCCCATTGCCTTTTCTGTCCCTCTGTGGAACTGCTATGCAAACCCCTAAATGGCAGCTGATATCTGAAAGCATGCCAAGATCTTATTTCCTTCCCCCCCCCCCCGCCGTGTTTTTTTCCTCTCTCCTTTTTAACCCTTAAACATTTGTCTGGAAGTGTAGGGGGCACCCAGGTTTTTAGAAACTATGGCCTCATTGTACAGAATCTCTGACCCACATCTGCAGAATTCCTAAACCTCATCACTGCACTTATTGCTAGCCAGAACTTGCCATAAGAGTTTTCTAGTGTGTTCCAAAGTATTGCAATACACCTCCATCAGTGTGTCTGTCTCCTTAGTTTCGCAGGGAAATACAGGGGGAGGCCCCCGCCCCCAAGCAACTTGGCAACCTAGAACAATTACAGGGAAGTACACAGGCAGAGGAAAAAATAAATGTGGCTGAATTGTATTTAAAACTCTGTTACAGCTGGGGGTGATGATTAAGAAAGGTGTGGCACAATTTCTGGAATGACTGCACTTCAATCAGACAGACTGCCAGATTCTTAGCTTTAGGAATCTGATATAAAAATACTACCAATATTTAGAACCTACTCGGAACAGATTATTCAAGTCTATTATTCATCATCAGGAGGGATTCCCAGCTCTTCATCTGTCCACGCTGAAGAGTCTGGATAAGGGAAGTGGCCCTGTAGGAGGAAAAGAAAGTTGAACTCTTACTAGCCAGAGACAAAACTGAAAATATGTCTAGCAGATCACCAGCCAAGATGACAGACACGTTCCATGAGTGTGAAACTCTATTACAACTACCATCAGGGGTGGACTGGCCATCAAGACTTCTGGGACTTGTCCCAGTATGCTGACGGCCTCCCACCCCATAGTCCCAAGGGAGGCTTGGAAAGAGGTGGCTGGCTCAGCAGGTAGGCTGCTTCGGGCAGGGCCAGGGAAGGCTGGGGGCAGTCTCTTTTTCAGGGCTGCTTTTCCATCACAGTCCAAGCCGGCCACCATCCAGAACTACTTCAAGCTGCTTCAAAAGCTTGCGTGCCCCCCACAGGACTTCTCACCCCTTTTCACCCACAGCCCAGAATCACAACGGAATCTCCACCTTTGGTAATTCTGGCAAAACGAGTTTGTCCTTCAAAATGAATAGAGATGCTCTTTGAAAATCATCTAACGTACCATCCCCAACCCTAAGCATTCAAAGCACAGTTCTTGGGATTTGTAACTTTGGGATGACAGTGGTGAAAACTGTTGTCAATTCACAGCCAATGTAGGGCAACCCCATAGGGTTTTCAAGGCAAGAGACATTTAGTCCCACATGTGTTCTCAGCATCTTCATTGCAATTCTTAGAATCCACTTGAGCTCACCGTGTTTATTATTATTTATTATTTTCGATTTATTACCCGCCTTTCCTGCACAGGCAGGCTCAAGTGCACAGAGTCCTGCCAGAAAGCTAAGCCATCTTGCCTCCAGGGATGTGAGTGGCTTCCACGAATGCAGCATTAAGGTGCATCAGGAAAAAAAAAAGACAGACATGGGGGGGGGGGGGCAAGTATTTATTCCCAACTCAGCCATCAAGTTTCCTGAGTGATCACGAACCACTTGCTTTCAGCCAAGCCCACCTCGCGGAACTGTTGTGAGAATAAAAAGGAGGAGGGGAGGCCTCCTCGAGATCCTTGGAGAAAGAGCAGGATAAAAAGGTGATGAGGAACAGGCCGAGAACTCCAAAGCCGTTATTAAAATAAGCGCTTTCTATGAACTCCCTGCCTGCTAACCAAACATGACTGAGTGTTAGCCCTTGATAACTTACATTCAGCATCTTTCCACATCCTCTAACGCAACTGTTTATTACCTTCCCCAGTCCACTGAACTCACCAGCACAGCTTCAGGAGAATGCCAAAAGTGCCACAGGATCCAGAACCACATGGCACCACTGATCGCTTCAGCCTTTATCACCTGGGACCTCGAAAGCTCTGGGAACTGGCGGTAACGAAATGTGCCATGAGCCCCTGAGCTTGCACTGCAACACAGAAAATGACAATGGAGAGGTCACATGGCTGACCACACCTCAAAATTCTGTGGGAATACTTTCATTTCCTTTTTGCAAGAGCCATTTTGTATCCTTTGCTAGTTACGAGGGATTGGATCTAATGCTCGCAGAAGAGTTCTCCCTCCCTTCCCCATGCAACCATGCAAAAGTTGCTCCTGAAGGTCAGGGGATTCTTAGGAACAGCGTGGGCTGTTATGTGCAGACTGCTCAAGGGAAGCAAGAGGTCAAGCAAGGGGTTGGCGGGTGATTTCCAATAATTTCCTCTTCTTCCTGCAGCCCCCTATGCCACATTCAACAGTGCTCTCAAGATTGCTGGTAATAGCTTTCCAGAGAAGGGCAGATGCAGGGGAAGAGATCCACACATGGTCCTCCTATCCAACCCAGTGGCTCTAGAAATGAAACTTTAGGTCTTAGTGCCCCACAGTGCTTCTTTCCCCCTTTATAAGTACAAAAACAAGACTGGCCAGATTGGATCTGGGAGGGGCTATGTCTCAATGGAAGACCCTCTGCTTTGTATGCAAATAGTCCCAGTTTCAATCTCCAGTTAAAAGGACCAAAGCAATACGGGAAGTTGAAGACATATATGAGGCCCTAGACAGTTGCTGCCAGTCTGACCTTGATGGACCAATGGCATTGTTCAGTATAAGGCAGCTTCACCTGTGCCAAGAGTATGTGCAGTGTGCCAGAAACTCATTTACTCACCTTTTCTAACTTACGCATGTTGCAGAACTCAGGCCTCCCCAACCCCAACTTAGACACAGAACTGAAGCGCCTTGCTATATTCTCCAAGGGGCTGGGAAGGAGAGTGAGGGTTTTCCTTCCCTACGAGTCCCCAGTGTATATCCTTTGCACTTCACCAGGGAGCTCAGGGTGATGTACACTGTTGCCTTCTTCCCCATGTTTATCCTCACAACAACCTTGTGAGGTGGGTCAAAAGAGTGTCGCCCAAGATCATCATATATAACCCTCAGGACAGAATGAAAGATTTGGCGGCTCAACAGTTTTAGTCCGACAACCGACACCCCACTGGCTCTCGGGAGAGAGAAATGCACTCCAATTTCCCCGCTTCAGCCCCTTACTTTGCTTCATCCCTCCCTGTCTTACCGCCGGGCCCCGAAGGCCACTCCTGCCCCACTTCTGGCACGAAGGAGGCGGGCTGTCCACCGCAGCCCGCACAAAGGCCCCACCATAGCGGTGACTACCAGGACCGTCCTTCACCCCGCCCCCCCTACTTCCTCCCTTCCATGTCAATTTACGGTACCTCCCAATAACCTGTTCTCTTATTGGCTGTTACCAACTTCGGCGCCTACCAATACTAGTCACGGGGAGGGGGGAAAGCGAAAAATGTAATTTTCTCGCTGGAGGAGACCAGTGCTGATTCTTCGCTCGCTTTTCCTGGTGAGAAGAAAGGAAAGAGTACCATCTTGACCTCCACTACACCCTTCATGGCTTTCCAAATATTTCAGTTCCCCCTCCATTCAGGAGTACAATAGGACCGCCCTGGGAAATACCAAGAAAATCTGAGGGGGAGACACAAGAATACCTGGGTATATTTTGAGATGCATTTTCCTTTGGCATAGTAACGGGGTTGGTCCTTGCCTGCGACTCTAAACTTTATTAATCAGGGAGAGGTTCCATATTACTTAGGAATTCGTAAGTGTACAGACAGCCTTTCTGTTACCCCCCATCAGGTGTCGAAGATGGTTCTGTCTTTGGGGCCTGGTTTCTAGGCAACGTCCCAAGCCTGGAATAACTCGCTAGAGAGCGAGGGGGGGAGTTAAATGAGTTGCAGAAGGACAAGAGAAAGGTGGCCAGCTGACCATTGAAAAGTTGATGTAAATATTCTTTTAAATTTCCCCCAGTCATATGATATGCAGAAATATGCCCTCGAAGGTTTCTCTCTCTCTTTTTTTGGGTGTGTGTGTGTGTTGCGCGCTATTAAGATAAACAGGATCTCATTGATGCCGATGAAACAGCTGTTAAGCACACAGTTCAAGAGGGTTGCTCAGAAACTGAAAGATTGTAGTGCAATCTCTAACCATGGGCAGACTTCCTACTGGTTTTACGAGTGCTATGTAAAGTTCTTTTCAGCTCTGCACGTATGAGAAACAGCGCGGCAGTTTTAAAATACGTTTTCCTCGAGTTTCTGATTGGTAGCCATGCAAGACACTTGTTTTGCTATTGTGCTGCAGTCTGCCTGTGCTTTATGATGGACGTGTGGTTTTGGTTGCCTGCTGAGAATTTTGCAGGCTGAGTCTCGAAGATGTCTCTGAATCTGACCCTCGTTTCCCCGGGGACACACCGGCTGCGGTCACACACTTTCAATCCACTTTCAGTGCACTTTCCAACTGGATTTTACTGTGTGAACTGGCAAAATACAGCTTGAAAGTGGATTGTTTAGTGTGTGTGACCGCATCCACCATCTCATTCTCTCTCTCTTTCTTTACTAGGCTTTTCAAAGTGTCTAAAGCCCTAGATTTGTCTGCCATTTGCAAATCACTCGTTGACGTGCATGTGCCACATATTCTTTCCATTGAAGTGTGCGAAATGCTTTACTGTTAAAAAGCAGTAAAATTAGTAGTTCTGTACTAAATTTGTGAGGATGGTGGAAGAACGAGGGAAATCTATGGTAATATGAGTTGGGGGAGGGCGTGAAAGAAATCTAAGAATGTTATTGGGGGGGATGCTAATGAGCCAAAGTTGAAAAATTGCCTAAATAGGCTTGGGTGGTCAGTCATTTTGTTTTTCTTTTTGTTTCAGTACAGAAATGGCCGAGCTTTCCCCTCAGTGTACAACTTTCCCCTTAACAGCTGATATCCAGGAACAGAAGGTGACTTTTGTGATCTGTGCCTTGGAGAGAATGCCATCAGAAATGAGTATCCTGAAAGAACTCCTCATAAAAACTCTCTTTTCGCTCGCCAGCAAGCCAACAGATTGCATGTTCAGCGTTATCAGCTGTGCCAACCAGGTAACAGAGCACTTAAAAGTGCTGTGTCGCAGTTAGGGTGCTGGACTAAGATTTGGGAGATCCAGGTTCAAATCCCCACTCAGCTGTGAAACTTACCGGGTGACCTTGGGCCAGTCACAGAGTCTCGTGGCTTCTTGTGAGGATAAAATGAAGAATGATGTATGAGCTCCTTGGAGGAAGGGAAGGATAAAAAAAATATACTAGACAGATTGTCATAAAATAATATGAAAGCTTTTTCAGCTTTGGAAACTTTATTGCATCGGCTCAAAGTTTTAGCAAATAACACTGAAATGCCAAAAGCAACCTCAAACTCATAATACAGCAATCACAATAACAATTAAACTCTTAATATCCATTACAGATCTATAAACAGTTTTAAAATTGTGACAACGATGACAAGCTAATATGAATTGTTAAGTTAATAATATCAAAGAGCAATTTTTCATCCAGGGGCATTTCCATACAAGCAAGCTGGCCAATGATACAGTCTCTGACTTAAAGCAATACTCATCGACAAGACAGACTATCAAGGAGCTCTCTCTGAAGTATGCACCTCTTGTGATTATGTCTCATGTTAGATAATCCTTCAACTTCCTCTGCAGGTTTTAAAATGGCAAAACACTTTGGTGAAATGTTCTCTCGCCAGTGTCGCTGAGGCAGCCGCCTGGATCCGGACCCTGAAGTGTGATCATGGGGCCAGTGTCATGAGTGCTGTGGCTGCAGCGCTGGAAGACTCCAGTTGCCAGGCCGTTTACCTCTTCACCAATGGGCTATGTGAGTGTGCGGCAGAGGAAATCTGTGCCCTCCTGAAGGAGAAGACTGGGCAGGCCTGCCCCTTACACACGGTATACTTGGTACAAAACAGAGGAGAAAATACAAACAGCTTGCAAGAAATACTAGAGAAAATAGCCAAGGAGTCTGGAGGTTCTTTTCAAAGGATCAGCTTCAGCTCTGATGAGACTGAAGATCAGGTAACGGAAATAAATATTGCAGAACTGAATCCGGTTCACACACACGCAAGTACATTGCTTACTTTACCCCTCAGGCAAATGTATGAAATGGGGTCCATTGAAAAAATACTGTGTTTGAGGTTGCATTTGGCAACACAACAATTGGATCTGTGGCAGTGGAAAGTGATGAAGCCTCTCATTCATACCTGCGAATCACTGCATGATATTTTATGCCTCATGCAAGCTGTTACAAGGGTCAGTGTGGTATAATGGTTAGAGAGCCCAATTAGGATCTGGGACACTCGGGTCCTAATGCCTGCTCTACTATGGAAGCTTGCTGGGTGACCTTGGGATGGTTGCCCCCTCTCTCAGTTGAACCAAACACACAGGGTTGTTGTGGGGATAAAGTGGATATGCCAAACTGCTGAGAAAGAATGAAAGGTCACGAGGTCCCAGATTAGGTGGCACATTCCGTGATTCTGCAGTCTTCTTTCTAGATTAATCCGGGAGGCATGGCGAGCGTTCACCATCCCGGTTGCATCAGTAAGCGCTGCTGCTCCTTCTCTCATCCAACAGGTCATCACGCCACTGCATGGTAAGTTTAAAGACTGTGGATCTTTTAGACGAATTGGTCATCTTGCTAATCATGGAGTGGGAACTGTGAAGAACCAGTCGCCTTTTGTGTTTCCTCACTCTCCTTGATGCATATCAGTCTGAGCAACCCCAGTTGTCTGGAGTTTTATTCTTCCTGAAATGTGTTCCTTTCCGGTATCTGCAGTTCTCCTCTGGGTGTGTGGAGCCTAGATTCCCCCCATGTGCTGCTGAGCAACTCCGCAAAGGAGGATTTCAAGGGGTGGCACACGAGGATTAACGACTTGCAGAGGGGCATCCGAGTCCTGGCCAGAAAAAAGACAGATGGGTATTTCTATCGAGGCCACATAGTCCAACATGTGGAGGTAAGTATGTTTCAGGAAAGAAAGGGTGGGAGCACCTCTGTATTTGACGTTTCTTTGGGGGCATCTGTCTCTGATACATGTTCGTTGTATCTCTTCTGATAATCCTTTGGGGAGCGCTAAAGATGCAATAAATGTTTCTCTGTCCAGCTCCTGTGTGACCTATTCAAGAACACAAGCAGAGCCCTGCTAGATCAGTCCAGTGGTCTGCCTAATTCAGCACCCTGGCTTCTCACAGCACCCAGGGAAGCCCACAAGCAGGGCACAGAGGCCAAAGACTTCAATGCTTGGCCTAGTCGACATTACTTTGCTCTGGAAAGTAAACATTTTCGTAGAGGCTATGGTATCCAGGCTGATGAAAATCTGACCCTTTGCAAATACTGGTAAAGACAGGAGGACAGATGCAGATCCCAGAGGCTGCTCTGGGCGACCTATTTCCGTATCCCTCTCTCAACCACTTTTGAAGAATTGTGGGTGAAGGGGGAGCCCGAACTGCTTTCCCTGATCTGGTGGCAACTGCCACCAGCTGACTCCTTCCACTGCATTCAAGCAGCTAAGGTCTCTCAGAGATCCCCACAATGGGAAAGAAAGCTGATATAGCTTGTTTACTTCAAGTGGCTTCCTAGATTACCACTGAGTTCACCACTGCGTTGTGTCAACCCTAATGTGGTTTCAAGCACTAGCAAAGTTTCTCAGTGGCCAAAGCTTTAAACAGTGCAGAAGCAAATAACAAAAGTGTGCAATGGCATGTTTTAGGTTTACTTTGGAAAATGGAACATTCATTTGAGTGTAAAACATTTTGGCTAGGATACAACAGAGTGATTCCATGGGCAGAAGGATTGTTGCCTGTAGAGCACAACTCTCTCGCCTCCTCCCTTCCACCGCACCCTAAAATGCCTCCCAAGCTGCTCCTTGGGAACAAGAGACCCACCTGGAGAAGCATCCCAGAGGGTGTTTTGGTCTGCAGCAGGAAGGGGAAGGTGAGAAAGTCGTGCTCCACAGGCGGAAATCCTTCCACCCATGGACATGCTCTGTTGGATTCAAGCCTTTCATTTCATTTCAATACGCTAATTTAGCTTAATGTCGGAAGCCGTAGCCCACTGCATAAAGTCTGAGAGACAGAGAGAGGTACACCAGTTATCAGATTCTGCTTGAGAAAGCAGTGGCCTTTGTCCCTCCGCGGCACAGGTCATCTGCAGCAGCCACCCAGGAGAGCATGTGGTCAGTCAGCTGGAGGTGAGGATCTAGTGACCCTGGATCATGCTGAACTCTCTTTAGCAAGGAAAGAAATTATTTGAAGTCAGATGGTGTTGCAAACCCATATGGGTTTAATTATCAGTTAGAGTTATCAGTGGGAAATGA